AATTCCCGGCTCTGCCTTCCCTCGCTGCCGGGCTCTGGGGGCTGTTGGGTTTTGGGGTGGGGTTTTTTATTTATTTTTTTTGGTTCTTTTGAAACGAGTCTGCGATAGCGGGTGTAAATATGGGCTTTTCTAGAAACAAGCATGGCAGGGATTATGTGGATAACTTCGCTTTGCAGGCTTGAACCACACACTCAGCCGAAAGAACAGGAAAGAAATTATCTTCCCAAAGGGACCAGAATCACGGGCAATACATTTTAAAACTGTTTTCACTTTAGAAAACCTACTTTCCGCTACTTTTTATTTACACCGCCTCTTCTCTCTCCTCCCTCCCCACTCCTCCAGATCTTTACAGAAAGCACCAGGATGCTTGAAATTCTGGGCATCAGCAGCACAGAGATACAGAAGATTCCCATAAAACAGAGCTGAATCTCCAGACCCCACGTAGCGGCCCGGTGCCACCCCGGTGGTACTGCACACACAGAAGCGATGTCAGGATGGTTTGCAAAAAAGACAGCTTCTAAGCTCTCATTTCAGGTGAGTGAGTAACTCACACATGATTCATGCCAATAAAAGTCTCATAGCATCTCAGTCTACTTCACGGGTGTGCGTGTGCAACGTGAATATGCATAGGACATGATTGCGATTTAGGCTGAATAAGTAAAGGTTTAAATCTGGTCTCCACGTATAAGTAAATTTCTAGGTAACTCTATCATTTCAAGGCTGAGAGGGATTTAAGGTTTATAATACTTGCCTGTAAGGCAAACTCCTAAGGCAGCATCTGAAAAAAAGTAGGTTTTTTTACTGGCAGAATTCCCTTCATCTTTCTCCTACCAGCTTAAATTAGACCTTTTAATTTACCTGACTATGCTATTTTAAATATCTATTAACTAGAGCATTATAATTCTATGGATATTTCTAGGGGAGCTTACATCCTCTGAGCCTTGTTAAGCCTGAATGGGACTGACTGCTCTAAAACCTACTGCCATAGGGTTAATTCAAAGGAACATATTTCATCCTGTTTCATGATAAGTATCTTTCCCACTCCTCAGAAAACTTCTTTTTTTTTTTGCATATTTATGCATATTTTATAAAAAACATCACGAGTAATCTACCAAACTTTCAGGAACTGTATTGGTCCATAAAGCCAGATGATCTCTCATGCACACTTGTCAGATGTCCAGCCACTCTATCCATATTTTCTCAGTACATCCCACCTTAGCTGCCTATTTTAAAAAGAACCTGGAAGATTGACGGACCTGGAATATGTAATTTTATCATGAAAGGGCACATATTTTTCTGCCAGTATAGAAAAGGATGAATTCTTCTTTCTCAAAAGCAATCCTCCCAACCCAGCTGTCTCTCTCTCTCTCTCTCTCACACACACACACTAAGGGTTTATCATCTGTCTTGTTATTATCTCTCCCCAGGCCTCCTTTCTTACCGGGATGGCTTAGGGAACCCATTGCAGACCCACCTGCTGATGAGTACACATCTGCATCAGCTTTATGAATGTAACACCAGCCTTTGACTTTTCTTGGCTTTCCAGCCTCCTCCTCCCTGAGAGCTAGCTCCTAGGAAGGATGGACTTGTCAGAGAGGAGATTAATTCATCCATGAAGTCACTCAGGTGTAGCTGTGGTCATCTGATAGCGGCTTATTAGAGGATAGCCTGACAGAAGAACAGAAGTTATTGAAGCTCAAGCAGGGGAAGCCAGGGCTTGGCGGACATTTCAGCACTTCCAGCTGAGACATGGCACCTGCGGCGGAGGCGAGAAAGCCCCGCTTCCCTCGTTGAGGCTAGATTGCAATTGACTCAGGGACAGAGAGTGCTGAAGCGTCTCATTTACAAAGTTGTTTTTCTTTTATTAAATTGTCCCCTCTTGTGCTTTCTTCTTTAAGTAAAAGCAGCGGTATGTTTAGGTGCGCTGTGGAAAGCACATACATCTGTCTGTTTCCTCGTGTCTGTCGCAGACTGAAGAAGCAAAGCTATAATCCATCCCACGCTCAGGGATGTTCTGGGCAGGAGGTACAAACTATGGAAAAAATAGAGAGCAACAACCAGGGACAGTACTGGGAGTGCAAGTCTCTCAAGACATGAGAGAGGCAAGCCTTGCTTGGTGGCCAGGACCCTTGCCAGCCTCTTCACAGGTGACCACCAAGCATTAGCAAAGTCTTTGTGATGATCTTCCAGATAATTCCTTGCTGCCTTTTATCACCTTAATTATATCTCCAAGCAAACGGTTAAAAAACATTCCTAAGTATATGCACTCTGAGGAAAAGGGCTGGGATTTTCTTTTTTA